ATTGCACCTTCGATTGCACTGCCCAGTAATGCAGTAGGTAATGGGAACCTCTCGCCGCTACCCGTTGCCGATTTCAACATTCAAGCTGCAGCATGTAACAAGTTCGTCGTATTGTACCTACAGTGAACTTAACATACCTCCGTACCTGTTCGAAGTCAGCCTCCGAGCCAGTTGAGACAGAGTAGAGACAGGAAAGGATACAAGGAACAGAGACATATTGAAGCCAGAAGCGAAGGTGTGCCACTGACGACTGCCCAGCCGGACAACAACCATCGAGTTACACACGTTCAATGGATTAGAATTTAATAATTCAACTGCCCCGGTGGATTGGGTCTGGGAAAGAATTACCAAAGTATGTTGGTCTATTGCATACATGGGACATGTTGAACTTAATGTTGCGGCGGGTGAAGGTCGATTTGGCTGAATATTACACGATGTGCCGGATTTAACCTAGCTCGTGCTTTGAAATTTCAATTGAAGCTTTGGAAATTATTAATGGGAAGCGCAGAGGCTCCCTAGAAGAAGGAATAATTCTGACAGTTTGATACGCAATTGCCATTACCTTCTTTCTGAAGAGTAACATATCAACTAAAATTGCAAAACATTATTGCAAAAGTTGCAAATCTTTTCTTTTTCCCTTGATTTGTTTGCCGTGCTGAGCACCAATGTTGCCGACGCCAGGGAGGCAGCTCACACACCTGGACCCTACCTATTAACCCATCTACTCATGCACCGAGGTCCAACGGCTTTACTTCCCGTGATCAGAGATGTTATTTATGCCTCAGAACATACCTGCGCGACTGGGATTGATTTAATTTATATATTAATGAATAATGATGATCTTTTATACATGAAAGTGTATCAAATAGTTATCGTTTGTCTTTAATTAAAAATGACTTACACCTGATATTATTCAATTTCCAAAAGATCATAATTAAAGCATACACAATAAGGCTTCTCTATTCGAAATCAATGATTCATCAATATGTTTGTGTAGTTGCTTTGATTACTCCCTTCTACTAAGCTGGTAGAAATGACAATTTAGTGTAAATTTTTAAATGCGATTCAACATCCTGGATTGAACATGCCAAAGTACAATTCATCCTGATTAAAACACGAAACACATCATCACAAATTATCGTTATTTTACAATCAACGATTAAGTAAATGAACTGATGGCTAAAATTTTCTAAAAACCTTGGCCACTTCTATTTTTCTAAATCAAAACGCACACTGGCAGACAGTTTGGCCAGTCTTTTAGGAGGAAAAGTTACAGGTAGTAAAGGTTCCTAATTCTACAATTATTCTGTTGCAACCTTTTCGGTTGCCATCCAACTAACGGATGATCTAACAATCCCGACGATAGATCTTCTCCATAATTTTGAAGAACAGTTCTTGCGGAAGTCCTCTGGAAATTTGCTGAATGTGAGTTTTAATCATGTTGTACGATTCTTCCTCATAGATGGCATAGGTCGTCGGTAGGCCCAGCTCTTCGTAAAGCTTCTTGACACGGGCTATCTTCTCCGGGTCACTGGATCCGTAGCACTGTTTCATAAGTTCCTTCTGGTCATCGGAAGCGCGCTGCATTGCTACGACGGACAGCCAAGTACATTTACCTTCCTCGATGTCGGTACCGATCTTACCGGTAACAGCTGGATCACCGAAGCAGTCCAGGAAGTCATCCTGAGTCTGATAGAAAAGACCAATCTCCAGCAGAATGGTTTTGGTCTGGCGGAATACTTCCGGATCGGTGAAACCAGTCATGTGCATGGCCAGGGCCACCGGGAGGTAGAACGTGTAGTAGGCAGTCTTATGATAAACGATAGATTTGTACAGATCCATCGTGTATTTCGTGACATCCATCCTGGCCGATCGGAGATCCAACGATTGTCCGATGGTTGTAATGAACTTAATTTCATTAAACAGTTCCACCAATTTGGTGTAGTAAGATTCGTCCCCGAACTGCTTCTTCAGCACGTAGTAGATAGCTGCATCGATCATCAGGGCATCGTTGATACCCGAAACTTTAACGTCCTCCAGTTTATACCAATATGGCTGACCACGGCGAGTCTGACTGCCATCCATTGCATCATCACAAATAAGGAACACCGATTGGAACATTTCAATGACCCAACCCAAGTAGTGAGCTCGTCGAATGTTTTCTGGAGTCAGATCCTCACTCTTGGACAGCATCCGGTGAGCCAGGACGGCAGCTAGACCACGGTTCTTCTTACCCTGCGGTACATTGTACTGCAAGGCCCGGATGAACTACTTGGGGGCCAATGTGTTGTCGTATTTCTTAGAATACTCAGTCAAATCACGGACTAGGTCGGGAAAGACGGCCATGAACTCACGGCTCTCGCTTTTGGTGACGGCCGTTTGTGTGGCCGCTTCAGATACCGAGTTGTTGAGGGTGGACAATGTCCTCGATACTTTCTTCAGTCTTAGCTGCATCGTGCTGTTGTAGTCACGGCTGGTTTTCTGGTTCTCTCGCATGGTCATGTAATCTGAGTTCACTTCACTGCTCTTTGAGATGGCCCGAACATGCTGGATCTGAACGGGAGTCTCTGCCGACCGTGCCAGCTGACGACCGATGGTCTGCAGGGGGCCAGCTTTAATTAATGTGGACAACATTTTTCACAATTTATATAACAATTTTCGCAATCCGCTTTCTCAAAAGTTGTTCATTCACGACACGAGGCTGTCTAGCGAAATTGTTCCCAATTTTTTAACACACTCCTTCACTCATGCTACTTTCTATAGGTCTCTCACGGCTGGCTCGATAACAAACTCGCTACTGATTTGTGCACAGGTCAAGTCAGCTGAATTAATAACTTGAAGTTATGTTTTCTTCTTTTAAATAAATACAACACCTTGGAGACAGAAACGGATTTGCTGGCTATGATTGACACCTTCGTTTAACACTCTTCTTTTCTCCGGCAAAATTGGTCTATTGATCAATTGAGTACACTGAAACCTGCTTTTATAGGTGAGGTCGAACCACACAGTAAAATCTGCGACTTTTCGTAACGACGAGTTGAACCCAGGCCTGCTGAGGTGAGATGCAATCACGCTTACCACTACACCACCAGCGCCACGCTAAGCTACAATCTTCAATCCGGTGTTACGAGCGAACGAAATTAAATCAACGGCATTACAAAATATGACTACATTTACCCAGAGGTGGTGCCATGGGGAAGCGAGTGATATTTATTCTGCTTATGTCTTGTTAAGTTTATTTTTATTAAATTATGGGTGAATGAAGCTCAGCTCAAGAAATAAAAAGTCAAGACTAGATCACTTCCCAGCAGTCCATAAAATGTTGAACATATCTTTCGCAGTCCTTTTTTACGATCAGACTACTTTTGTGTAAGGACGAATAAGGAAGTTGGATGGGAAAGCCGGTCTGTCCTCTCAGCTTGTTAATCCCGTTTAATTATGTACGACACCCTGATACTCATAAATGGGATTGCAACTAAATTCTGCGTATATATAATGAGTTGAATTCCAATGGCACTCAGAATTCTTCTGACATCCGAGAACAAATCATCAAACATCGCAATCATGAAGGTGAGTGCAATATTTTCAATTTCGTTTGAATCCTATGATTGAATTGTCCATCCTTTTCACAGTGCATCGCAGCTGTAGTCATGATGGCATTCGCCGTTGCCGCTGAAGCTGGATACGTACCGCTGCTGTACAATGCTCCACTAGCGTACTCCGGGCATACGACCGTCGTCCAGGGTAACCAAGCTGCTCCGGCGAAGATTACCGAGTATCCAGCTCTGGCTTATTCTGCCCCAGCCTATGCTTCTTACTCCTACCCGTCTTATTACGCCTATCCTGCTCCGGCTCCCATCGCTTATTCTGGTCCAGCCGTACTGCTCCCGAAAGAAGCTCGCTATCTGGCCGCTAACCGTGGAGCAATTCATGAAGCGCCTCTTCCAGGACACGAGCTCTCCCAGCAACAACTCAATCTGCAACCAGCTGCGTAAACCGATTGAGATCGCTTTGTCCTGTGATATGACCTCAAAAAATTGAAATACACATTTTCTTCGGCAAATAGTCGAACATTTATTTAGATTCCGAAAACCTTAAGCCACAATCAATTGATGTCCACCGACTGAAACCGGAGCAACGTGGTACGAGCCGGAGGTCACAGCAATCTGGTTCGATACTGGAACCGACGACAGATAGCCTCCGTTGTATCCCAAACCGTAGACCGGTGCACCAGCTCCGTACGTTCCCCATGGTTGTCCCCAAGGATAAGCTGCCTTAGCCACATTGGCCTGAACTACGGTCTTGTGTCCATACAGACCATTGTTGTAGATGGAGGCAGCAGGAGACCATGCAGAGGCAGACCACGAGTTGACGTATGGCTGAGCGTTCCAGCTGGCAGCGGTGGTTTGTGGCCAAGCGTTGTAAGCTCCCTGTGCATAGATTCCGTTCGATGGCCACACTGAGGTGCTGCTGACTGGCCAGGATGGGTAGGATGCTACCTCTGGGATGTAGGATGCTTGGGATGCAACCGCAAGGGTTAGGGCGATGACTGCGATGAAAAGCTGTGTGAGATAAATATAAGTGGAAGTCGAGAATATCATGTTAAATAAATTCTTACCTTCATTTTGAATAAGTTGGGAGTGCACTGAGTTTCTGTTGCTAGTAGAATAAAGAACTGTTAATTGATGTCAATTTGGTGTCAGTTGTTCGTTTTTATACATTATTTGCCCAGGTAGAAATTCGTTGAAGTGGCTAGTATACAGACATAATTATTTCAGTTTAGTTGCTGAATCAGAACCATTCTAAAACGGTTACTGGTATGTACAGGATAACATAACATCCTGTCGCAAATAGCGAAAATTCAACAGACAATCTCCTTTCACGGTTTGCGGAGAGCAGCCAACCGTTACATTTGAACCTGCTTTTCCCGCGGTTAGCTATCGGAAAAGTATAAAAACGAGCAGCTGATTGAGTTGGGACATCAATCAACAGTCCATCATTCTATTAACAATTGATACTCAGTGCACTCTCAACCAACTCAAAATGAAGGTAAGTCGGTCCTAGTTAGGAAAGGAATTTTCAATAAATTCTCATTCAAATCTTCTTAAGGTTTTCATCGCAATTTTTGCTCTGACCCTTGCGGTTGCATCTCAAGCATCCTACATCCCAGAGGAAGCATCTTACCCATCCTGGCCAGTCAGCAGCACCTCAGTGTGGCCATCGAACGGAATCTATGCACAGGGAGCATACAACGCTTGGCCACACACCACCGCTGCCAACTGGAACGCTCAGCCTTATGTCAACTCGTGGTCCGCCTCTGCATGGTCTCCTGCTGCCTCCATCTACAACAATGGCCTGTATGGACACAAGACCGTAGTTCAGGCCAACGTGGCTAAGGCAGCTTATCCTTGGGGCCTGTATGGCCGCAACACCGTAGTTCAGGCCAACGTGGCTAACGCAGCATATCCTTGGGGACAACCATGGGGAACGTACGGAGCTGGTGCACCGGTCTACGGTTTGGGATACAACGGAGGCTATCTGTCGTCGGTTCCAGTATCCAAGCAAATTGCTGTCACTCCCAGCTCGTACCACGTTTCTCCATTTTCAGTCGGTGGACAGAAGCTGATTGTGGCTTAAGGTGTATGGAATCGAAATAAATGATCATGCAATTTGACGGTACAAATATTGGTTTCACTTTTATCGGTAGTTTCATTAGAAGCATTAGATAACTAATCAGACTCCTGAGATCCTGGCCAAAATTTAAAAAGATTTTTAACGGAATTTTATGGACGGATTATTTTTCCAATTGCCCTCGGCAGTTTTGTTTGACTCAATATATTTTCGCGAATTCTACCAGAAGTCTCTTCCAACGTTTTTAGGAAGATTGTTTTAGTAATTTCAGCGACCTAATAGTTAAAAATTCTAAACAATTCTCAAATTTTTCCAGGATTTTAGAAGTGTCTGTGAAGATCTTCGAATTTCTACTATCAGAAGTGGTTTCTGGATGAATCCAAACGAATAATGCGTTGTTAAATACTTCTTACGGTTATTTCCTATGCGGTATGTTTGACATTGATCTTGACGATATAAAACGCGTTGCCGCCTTCCGACCACCGAGTATATTTCAACTTCGATCTGCTGTTTACGTTTACATGCATATACCGAAACAAACTGCCGTGTACTGCGCTGAGGCTTATTATAAATTCACCCACCTCTTCAACCCTATCCTCCACGCGATCGAAGACGGCTTTTTTGCTTTATTATACACGCCTTCCAGCCTGCTTGAACACTTGCTTCCAAGACGACGACGACGACGGGTAACTGCCTGGGCAGAGACAATCGACAATCACGATCACCGACCGGCGTCACCACCGGTTGGCGAGAAGTCAGCGCGTGCCTCCGCAAGACCCCAAAAGCGTTGAACCGTATGGCAATGCGGTGGTTGCGGTGCACTTGTAGCGAACAGATGATTAATTATCATAGAACGAGCCGAGCACGCGAATGGTTGGTCGGCCGGTCGGTGGCACAAAGGAAAACGGTTAAATTTGTGACATAGAGGAGAGCAAGCGGGAAGCAGTCCAAATTTACACCGGTTCGTTGACAAATTTTCGGCCATAAAACCAGCGCTTTTGGGACATAACATTTACGAAAGGTGACAAATTGACTCGTAACTGCAGACGTAAATTACTACCAACACATTTAAAACGCTGACCGTCTATGAACTGCACACCGCAAGACCGGTAGTCATTTCATGGTGGTCGAGTTTTGCTGAATAAATAATTGTAATTGCGAGTGGATGCGAGCTAAATTGGAGGCCTAATGATCGTTAACAACATGTAGACCAACATTGAACATTGAACAACATCGTCCATCTTGAACGCCCCTACCATCTTGTTAGATTGGTCTAAATCCACACGTCACATGCATTATCTCCCAAGACCCCAAACTGGCACAAACACCAACCTGTCCGAACCAAATAAGTAGAAGCCCAATCGCTCCATTTCAACAGAGTTCAACACGAAATTGACCAACAATGCCGTTGGTAAGCGAATTTCCCTATTTTATTTCGCCATCAGTCCCGACTCTAACCCGCCTTCTACTGAGCTGCAGTCTCAGTCAATAATGTGTTGCAACTCTGATTTCACGTACATGGTCGGCTGCGATCGTCGTGATCCGCGTAAAAATGTGGGTGGATTTCGAGAAATATATAAACAAACAGACACTAAACCAATCTAGACTATTTAATACCAAATCTCTTTACTTCTCGCGCAAAACCTTAGGCAACAATCAGCTTCTGGTTGATGGCATAACCGGCCAGTGTGGGGGAGAACATGAACGGTACCTGAATTGACAGCGACGTATTCGGCCGACACCGGGGGTGGCGGCCAGGTAGTTGTTGTATCCGTAGGAAGGGGTCCCCCAGGAGAGTCACCATGGGTTGACCTTGGGCACAGCAGTGGCTCCGAAAGTCTTTTTAGGTTCATATCAGTCGTTGACAAGAACAACTTTGTACAGAAGTAGAGAGGACCAGGATGAATATTGAAGACGGGTACGAGGACAGATTGCCGTGGTTGTTGGTCCAATCATTACAACCATTCCTTTCGAGGGAGGTTACGGATCAGGTGGATGGCACATATGATCACTAGCGTGCACAGGAATCTTGTTAAGGAGGGGCATTTTTTTTTCTATAGTGCATTTAATCTGGGGATGGGGAGTACTGTTCATCCACCACTGTTTCTCTACTGTTCAATTTAGCTAATTTTGTTTATTTTTTGCTCCGGTGGTGGTTCATCTTCTTCAATGCAAACTGCTTTCAGACAGCCAATGGAATTGGCAATTTAATCCCATCATTATCAATATACCTGATGACAATCACCAACTGCTCGTGGTGGCCACAATCGCTCGTCTCATCTACAATTATTGCCACTGGTGTTCCTCGCAAGGTTTTCACAATGTTCTGCAACACTACATTGTGCAACAACGTAATCATGTCATTTTGAATACGGTTACTTGTGTACTGGCTGTTTTTTTGGTGGTCCAGGTCTTCGTCGATACCCTTCCTGGTTTTGAAATTTTTCCACGCTTCCATACTACCAACCCTGTAGGAATCGTTGTAATAATGTTTTGCGTCATGCTCTTCTTTACAGGTTAAAAATATGAACCAAAGAAAACATATTCTTCAAGGTACTGGTATCAACTTTTATTCAGTTACCTTTCTGAAATTTTGTGCAGTACATTTTTGTATGTTTTGAAGACATCGTTACAGTTATTTTTGACTGTTTCAAGGTTTTGTAAGCCCTTATATGCTGTTGTAGCTACACTTTACTATTACCGTTGCGAGTACGTTGAACTTGGTCATTTTCAGCGAAAATTTTAGTTCTATTTTTTTCAAATTTTGACCTCAATTCCAAGGCTAAAAGGATCATTTAAAAGGTTTAAAATATATGTAACGATTGGAACAAAAGCGCAAAAAACTATTTTGACAAGCGAGTACAGGATTGTTAACGGAATTACGACTTGTGCGAAGGATTGAGCATGTCAACCCTGTCCCAAAGTACCGCCAGTCGGGGTGACACGAAATGATGCCAAACATTCAACATGTTTTAAAGATGATACAAAGGACAATCCCGAATTTATTGCAACGCACATAAACAGCTGTAACTTTTTAACGACGGTAACTTTCAGAGAAGATTCTTAGACGAATTCTTAAAAAGACAACAATAGACCAAGGTTCAATGGCAAACTAATAGCTGTCTTTAAATTTTATACAGTTGCAAAAAAGTCCATCGTCAGATTTCCTTGAGGGAATACTCCCCAGATATCCTTTGGAACTGTCCTTGAGGTTCTTCTTGGATTTTTTTAAAACTCTCCTAAGAGCTCTTTTGAAATTCATTTCAGAAGTCCACTGGAATTATACTTAGAACTCTTCATGATTTTTTTCTCAGAACACCTTGGAACTGAAATTCTTTTAGAGTTTCAGAATTTTTTCCAGGAATGAGCTAGAAATTATCCTCGGAATTCGCTTGAAATTTTGCCTAAAATCCCTTTGGAATTTTTCTTAAAATTTCATTTTCTCGGTATTCTTTTCGGAATTATCCTGGAAATATCTACAGGATTCACTAGAAATTATTCGCAGAATTTTCTTGGAATACTCCCCAGAAGTTCTTTGGAACTGTCCTCAGAATTCAATATCCTTGAGGTTCTTTAGAACTCTCCTAAGAGCTCTTTTGAAATTCATTTACTTAGAACTCTTCATGATTTTTTCTCGGAACACCTTGGAACTGAAATGCTTTTTGAGTTTCAGAATTTTTCCCGGAATGATCTTGAAATTATCTTCGGAATTCGTTTGAAATTTTTCTTAAGATCCTTCTGGAATTTCACTTAAAATCTGATTTTCTCGGAATTCTTTTCGAAATTATCTTGAAACTATCTGCAGGATTCACTAGGAATTATTTGCAGAATTTTGGAATACTCCCCAGAAATCCTTTGGAACTGTCCTCAGAATTCAATATCCTTGAGGTTCTTTTCGGATTCTTTAGAACTCTCCTAAGTCCACTGGAATTATACTTAGAATTCTTCATGATTATTTTTTTCTCAGAACACTTAGGAACTGAAATTCCTTTAGAGTTTCAGAAATTTTTTCCGGAGTGAACTAGAAATTATCCTCGGAATTCGTTTGAAATTTTGCTTGAAATCCCTTTGGAATTTCACTCTAAATTTGATTTTCTCGGTATTCTTTTCGAAATTATCTTGGAACTATCTGCAGGATGCACTAGAAATTATCCACAGAATTTTCTTTGAATACTCCCCAGAAATTCTTTGGAACTGTCCTCAGAATTCAATATCCTTGAGGTTCTTCTCGGATGTCTTTAGAACTCTTCTAAGAGCTCTTTTTCATTTCAGAAGTCCACTGAAATTATACTTAAAACTCTTCATGATTTTTTCTCGGAACTGAAATGCCTTTAGAGTTTCAGAATTTTTCCCGGAATGAGCTTGAAATTATCCTCGGAATTCGCTTGAAATTTTTCCTAAAATCCTTTTGGAATTTGCACTTAAAATTTGATTTTCTCGGTATTCTTTTCGAAATTATCTTGGAACTATCTGCAGGATGCACTAGAAATTATTTGCAGAATTTTGGAATACTTCCCAGAAATCCTTTGGAACTGTCCTCAGAATTCAATATCCTTGAGAATCTTCTAGGGTTTTTTAAAACTCTCCTAAGAGCTCTTTTGAAATTCATTTCAGAAGTCCACTGGAATTATACTTAGAACTCTTCATGATTTTTGCTCAGAACACTTTGGAACTGAAATTCCTTTAGAGTTTCAGAATTTTTTTCCGGAATAAACTAGAAATTATCCTCGGAATTCGTTTGAAATTTTGTTTGAAATCCCTTTGGAATTTCACTCTAAATTTGATTTTCTCGGTATTCTTTTCGAAATTATCTTGGAACTATCTGCAGGATGCACTAGAAATTATCCACCGAATTTTCTTTGAATTCTCCGCAGAAATATTTTGGAACTCTCTTAAGAATTCAATAACCTTGAGGTTCTTCTCGGAATATCTTAGAACTTTTTTTTTTCTCAGAACACCTTGGAACGGAAATTTCCCTAATGTTTCAGAAGAATTTCCTCTGTATT